ACAAAATTAATGTTGTTTCAGTATAAAAATATGCCACTTTATTGATTTTCATAATAGCATTGAAGTCATTATAGACCAATAATATGACATGAATGTCGTTATATAAAAAACTTACATAGCGCAAGCGACATAGGGAACCATTGCGCTCACTTCCAAGGAACCATTTGCTCTCGAGTGGTAATGATATTGATATCATTATATATCTATATTATTATAGTTATTATTCAAATTTGAACAATTTCAAACACGTCAAATTTGTACTAAAACAATATGGACACCTTTATGTTATTTCGTGATTTGCTACATAACGATATAATTATCGTTTCAATACAATTTTGACAACATCCATATCGTTTCAATTTAAATCATAAATAAAACAACATATATATCGTTTAAGTTTATATAAAAAAAATATGTATATCGTTTCTGCTAAATACAACGATTCGATAATCCACGACCACCCAACATGTATTCGACATATATGGGACAATTGAAATAAGTCAACAAATGGATTTGATCTCACTTAAAAGAAACTATGTGAACATTTCTGTTCGCGCGATTGTATACAACATCCGAACTATTCTTATAGGAACAAGTATCTTTGATTGTTATTTCTAAGTCATTTGAATGACATCAACCCACTTGATGACCTCTTTCGACCGTCTTAGATATGTTAAAGACATGTTGAGTGGTTGTAGACGATTGAATCGTTATTTTTAGTCAAAACGATATAATTAACATTTTATATGAAAAGAAACGATATCTATGTCGTTATAGTTATTATTTGAATTGGAACGATTTTAAGCTCGTCAAATTTGTATTAAAACGATATGAATGTCGTTATTTTATTTGTGAGTTTGATACATAACGACATCATTATCGTTTCAACACAAGTTTGACGACGTTGATATCGTTTTAACTTAAATCATAACTAAAACTACATACATATCGTTGCAGTTAAAATAAAACGACAATTATATCATTTCTGCTAAAAATAATTATTTGACCGTCCACAACCACCAGACATGCATATGACATATGTAAGATGCTCAAAATAGATAATCAAGTGGGTTTGATCTCACTCAAAAGAAACTATGGGAATATTTCTGTTCCCATGATTGTATACAACATTCGAACTATTTCGACAGAAAGAAGTATCTTCGTTCGTTCTTTCTAAACCATTCGAATGTCATCAACCCACTTGATGACTTCTTTCGATCGTCCTAGGTATGTTAAAGACGTCTTGAGTGGTTGTGGACAATCGAATCAGTATTTTCAGTTAAAACGATATAATTAACGTTTTATATGAAAAGAAACGATATCTATGTCGTTATAGTCAATATTTGAACTGGAATAATTTCAAAATTGTCAAATTTGTACTAAAACGATATAAATATCGTTACTTTAATTGTGAATTTGATACATAACGATATCATTATCGTTTCAATACAAGTTTGACGACGTTAATATCGTTTTAGTTTAAATCATAACTAAAACTACATACATATCGTTTCAATTAAAATAAAACGACAATTATATCGTTTCTGCTAAATATAACGATTTGACCATCCACGACCACCAAACATACATCTGACATATGTAGGATAACCAAAACAGGTAATCAAGTGGGTTCGATCTCTTCAAAAGAAACTATGAGAACATTTTTGTTCTCATGATTGTTACCACTTTCAAACTATTCCGACAGAAAGTATCTTCGTTTGTTCTTTCTAAGTCATTCGAGTGGTATCAACAAATTTGATGACATCTTTCAATCGTCCTACTATGTTGAAGGCATGACGGGTGGTTGCAGACGGTTGAATCGTTATTTTTAGATAGAACGATATAATTATCATTTTATATGAAGAAACGATATTTACGTCGTTATACTTGTGATTTGAATTAGAACGATTTCAAATTCGTCAAATTTGTACTAAAACAATATGAATGTCGTTACTTTATTTGTGATTTTGATACATAACGATATCATTATCGTTTCAATATAAGTTTGACGACGTTGATATCGTTTTAGCTTAAATCATAACTAAAACTACATATATACCGTTTCAATTAAAATAAAACGACAATTACATCGTTTCTGCTGGATATAACGATTTGACCGTCCACGACCACCAAACGTGCATTGACATATGTAGGATGATCAAAATAGGTAATCAAGTGAGTTTGATCTCTTCAAAAGAAACTATGAGAACATTTTTGTTCTCATGATTATATACCACCTTCAAACTATTCCGACAGAAAGTATTTTCATTTGCTCTTTCTAAGTCATTCAAGTGGTATCAGCACACTTGATGACATCTTTCGAGCATCCTACGTATGTTGAAGGCATGACGGGTGGTTGTGGACGATCAAATCGTTATTTTTAGATAGAACGATATAATTAACATTTTATATGAAAAGAAATGATATCTACATCGTTATACTTATGATTTGAATTGGAACGATTTCAAACTCGTCAAATTTGTACTAAAACGACATGAATGTCGTTACTTTATATGTGATTTTGATACATAACGATATCATTATCGTTTCAATACAAGTTTGACGATGTTAACATCGTTTTAGCTTAAATCATAACTAAAATTACATACATATCGTTTCAATTAAAATAAAACGACAATTATATCGTTTATGTTAAAAATAACGATTCGATCGTCCACGACCACCAGACGTGCATATGACATATGTAGGATAATCAAAATAGATAATTAAGCGGGTTCAATCTCCCTCAAAAGAAACTATGAGAATATTTTTGTTCTCATGATTGTATACCACTTTCGAACTATTTTGACAGAAAGTATCTTCGTTTGCTCTTTCTAAGTCATTCGAGTGGTATCAACTCACTTGATGACATCTTTCAATCGTCCTACGTATGTTGAAGGCATGAGGGATGGTTGTGAACGGTCGAATCGTTATTTTTAGCTAGAATGATATAATTATCGTTTTATATGAAAAGAAACGATTATCTACATCGTTATACTTGTTAATTGAATTGGAACGATTTTAAACTTGTCAAATTTGTACTAAAACGATATGAATGTTGTTACTTTATTTGTGATTTTAACACATAATGATATCATTATCATTTCAATATAAGTTTGACGATGTTGATATCATTTTAACTTAAATCATAACTAAAATTACATACATATCATTTCAGTTAAAATAAAACGACAATTATATCGTTTATACTAAAAATAACGACTCGACTGTCCACGACAACCATTCGTGCATTCTGGTATATGTAGGATGATAAAAATAGATAATCAAGTGGGTTCGATCTCCCTCAAAAGAAACTATGAGAACATTTTTGTTTTCATGATTGTATACCACCTTCGAATTATTCAAACAGAAAGTATTTTCGTTCACTCTTTTTAAGTCATTCGAGCTCTATCAATCCACTTAATGATATTTTTCGATCGTTCTACGTATGCTGAAGGCATAATAGGTGATTGTAAACGGTCGAATCTTTATATTTAGTTAGAACGATATAAATATCGTTTTATATGAAAATAAATGATATCTATGTCATTATCATTATGCTTTGAATTGGAATGATTTCAAACACATTAAATTTATACTATAACGATTTGGATGTCGTTGTCTTATTTTATGGGTTTGATACATAACGATATTATTATCGTTTCAGTACAATTTTGATAACATTGATATCGCTTTAATTTAAATCTTAACTAAAACAATAAATAAAAATGATAATTATAAAAACGACGATTCGATCGTCCATGGTCAATTATATGTAAATTTCAATTACTTTTAATATCGTAGTTAAAACGTTCTAGAGTAATCACTTCTGAAACGATATGTATGACATTATAGTTACGATTGAATATGAACGATATCATTGTCGTCAAAAATTGTATTGAAACGACATAAACGTTCTTTACTTATTCTATAGCGTGCGCTTAAACCTGTTAAACAGTGAAGTAATGTTTATTCGATATCGGAACGACATGTACATCGTTTTTTGTACTTCAGGAACGAGTTCAATGTCGTTATACAAATCAGTTAAGCATAGTGTATTTGATATTGAAACGATATCAAAGTCATTTTATATTTCAGGAACGATTTCAATGTCATTATGCAAATCAGTGAAACAGTGTCAGTAGCTCATTTCCATTCCATATTTTTATTAAATTGATAAGTTATATTTTACGATTTCTTCAAACTGCAATATCTTCGTGATAGCTTATTCGAAACGAATTTTTCTCGAGTCGAATAATTCTTATTAATTACAAGCTCTAAAATGAGTTCAATATCGATATACTACATCGCTTTTTATTAAAATCTAATTATTGGACTTTAAATAAGATATAAATAAAAAAATATTTTTTTTCCATTTTTTTCCAAAATATAATGATAAAATTTATTTTAAAAAATTTCGTGTGTTATAATATGTGTTTAATGAATAAATAACGCAATAATTATTTTCGACTAGCTGCTAAGTTGTGGACAATGTTAAAACTTTGGGTGCACTGGAGATCAATTACGAAAAAGAGATGACTTTAAACTTAAAAAGAAGAGTTCGAATTCTAAGGAGAAGATGATTTTGAAGAGGAAGATTTTTTTGAATTTAAAGGAAGAGAATGTTGTATGTGTTAGAACATGAATGCATAGTTATTAGAGCCAACCCGATGATCAACTAAAAAAAACCACCAAGTCAATGGTTCAACTGGTGGGTTTTGTTAAATTTTATTTTTGAAGTGAGAATAAAACAATTTTTTGAAATGTAATATATATATTTTGCTTATAAGAAACAAAGGACCATCACTTGCCATAATGGTTGTGGAGTTAAAATATTTTCTTACAATCCAAGATTCAAGTCACGGCTCCAACAAATTTAAAATAAAACTCCAATCTCTTCTTCATTTTTATTTTACAAGTTAAGAATAAAGAAGTCTTTAGACACTTTTAAATAATTAAAACTCCTTTTATTTTTATAAGTTTGGTCAAAGGCCATTTGAACAAAATGTAGCCATTCCAACTCATTTTCCCAAATAATATAGCTAACCAAATGGTTCGGCAATTCATTTGGGCTCAGAGAAATTGTTACCGTCCTGAAAGAAAAACAACGCAGGCATTCGAATTTGTTCGAAATTTCGAAAATTGTATGTCGTCTTGTGTTGCTTTCTTCTCCAACGTTAGAAGGAGAAAACCCATCTAAGAGAGAAAAAAGGGATAAGGAAGAATTATAGATAATAATTCATGTGAACAAGAGTTTATTTGGAGAATTGAACTGGAATTGAGTGGAAAAAAATTTCAATTTTTTTTATTTGATCTTATGTTCTTTTTTTTTTTCTTTTTTTTTTATTATTATTGAGGTGTATATGAACTCTCAATTTAAGCGTCTATTTGATTCTTCTCGAGGAGAATCGTGAGTTTTAGAATTGCTGTTATTTGGTTGATTGTATTTCATATCTATTGTAATCATGTGATTTTTTGTTTTGGAGTTGTGTTCAATTATTTCCTTGAAAAGGTTGTGTTTTGTTGACAGCATTTTTAGTTAATTCATTAAATTTCAGTAAATTTTTATGATCGGAATTATTTGGTTCCAGATTTTAATCATATGCCTAGAAAGTCTGATTAGGTCTCCTCAATAGCAACAACAGAAGATGAAGAAGAAAATGAAACAGAAATCAGAGAAGAATAGGGCTTTTGTGTTGTCTAGGTTGCTGAAGGTGTTGATGTGTGTGGGATGGGAGTAGAAATTGAAATATGTTTTGGGTATTTGCATTTGGTGGTGGTGTTGCTTTTGTGGGTGGGGAAGGGTCTTGTTTTGGTTTTATTTTCACCTTTTCTTTGTGAGGCCACATAGCGGCGAGCGAGGTGAGGAAACGTCTGTAGCTTCTCAACTAAGCCATTTAATTGTGTTTTGGCTATACAAAGGGACGTTTAATTTGACATGAACCTGGCTGCAGCTAATAAAGACTGATTAGTGTCATTCTGGAACACCCTAAGGAGATAATTGGATGCAGTTAAGTTTGTTGGCATGTCAAAACATAACCTAAATGGTGCACTTAGTACATTGGACTAAAACATACTGGATAGAATTATTGAAGAAAAAGAAGTTCAAATTATATGTCTGTTGTACTATACAATACCTTGTACAATCTTGCTCTAAGAGCATAATGTAGAAAACCTATACTTATCAAGAACTTGTTTTCATGATGAACAGCTTTTGGCTTATGAAGTTGTGTTGTTCCGGATTTTGATGGCAACTTATGTTTTCTACCCTTCTCTTGTGATAAAGGTATGGATCGTCACATACCCCTGGAGGAGGAGGAGGTTGTGTTGGTGGTGCTAGAGAGAGCCTTACACAAAAACTTACAACTAATGATGCGTTAACTTATTTGAAGGAAGTTAAGGATATGTTCCAAGATCAAAGTAAAAAACATGACAAGTTCCTTGATGTCAAGAAATATTTCAAAGTAAATGAATTTCTCTTGTTAAGATTAACTTGTGCACATCGGCCGTGAATGGATCTTTTCTTTGTAACTTTATATTAATTTGTTTCTGGCAGAATCGATTCAATTGGCTTGATAATGAAGGTGAGAGAGTTTTTCAAAGGGCATCCAAATCTTGTCCTTGTTTGCAATAACTACTTACCTAGAGGTTATGAAATCACCCTTACTGTAGAGAAAGGGGCTCCAAATAGAATGTTTAAGTTTGATAAAGCTATAAGTTTACTAAATGTCATATTTCCAATCGCTTATTTACTAATAGGTTTTGGATTTAGATATATGGAAATTGAATTATAATGAAATATCTATGCGGATTTTGTTTGCTGCAGAATTGTCTCCAAGATGATGAACATGCCGAAATGAATTGTTTACTAGCAATCTTTAACAAGCAACAAAATGAATACAAGGGTATGACTCTCGGGTGGGGGGCACGAGCATAGGAGGAGCATGAGGGTCTCGAAAACTAAGAGGCCGTTTTCTTCGTGTTTCAATTTTGTAGTTTTGAGATTTGAATTCATTTTGGATTTTGTGTTTTGAGTGTCTGTTTTGAAATTGATGAAAATGCGTTCTTTTTGCCATTTTGGAATCATTTCCCGTGTTTTCAATTTTTTCGAGTTTTGTACTGAAAACACCCAAAACAACAAAAATGTCGTTTTGTGTTTTTTTCACAATTTTTTTTTTCGTTCTCAAAAATTCGTTTTCGAAAATGGGAAAGAGAACGCGTTTTCATCGTTTTGAAAAATCGAAAATAGAAAACGGCCCGAAAACGACAAAAAGAACACACCCTAAGTAATTTATGCCGGCCCTTATCCTTTTTTTAGGTTCATGGCCAACGTCTGTGAAGAGGTCCATATCTAGTTTTATGATGATAAAGATGGATTAGAAAGTGAGTCAGGCAGTGCCTTATTATTTGAAGCTTCTACAAATCTATTTAGTCTTGCGTGCATGAACTGCATTTTATTTCATATCAGCCTATATGTTCAACAAGTATTTGTCATTTTCGTGTTCAGGAATTAGACATACCATTTGGTGATGGGTTAGAGGGAGTCTAAACGATGAGCACATTCAATCCACTATTTAATGCAATTATTTGCGCCCCCCGCGTGAGCCTTTTACTCCATATCTAACTAAAAGTAAAAGAGACAATTGCGAATTTACTGTTCACAAGCCGAATTTGTGATCTCAGCCACCTTGAATTGAGCCGGTTTAATTGAGCTACTTGGAAGTGAGCATGTTGTGGTCAGCTGAGGCAATTGAGTTGAGCCGAATTAAGTGTGCTGCTTGGAAATTGGTGGGTTTTCATATGGGATCTTCTCGTCTTCTTTCTCTTTGTAATATTTACCAAAGACTTCGTTTTTTCCTCTTTCTTTCTAGATCTGAAAATCATTCTTAAAATCTATGAAGACTTGAGTAAAGATTTTAGAAATATATTTTCTTTTCTGGGTAAGCTTCAAATTCAGCACAATTTGTGGGAATCTATTCTCTTCTCCGGCTAAGTTTCAAGTTCCGGCGATTTATCTCTGTGTATCTGCAGTTCATTTTCTCTTTCAATAAGCATCAATAAATGTGTGACTTCTTGAAAGTCTCAGATCTAACTCTGAGCACGAACAAAGAGGAACCCAGAAAGGTAAAATTAAGAAAATAGGAGAAAATTATTTTTCCAAATTTATAGTTTTTGAAATGGAATAAGATGTACTGGGTTTTATTTGAGTACTTCATTTGAAGTTTCACCTGTTAATTCTTTTTTTTTTTATTGCATGCGTTAATTCTTGTGTTATCTCGTACCATGTTTTTCTACACCAACATTTTCCACTTTATTGAAGCACTTTTCAAGTTTATTAATTTTTAGCTTTGTTCACATTTCACATCCATGTTTGTTTGTTCGTTCGTTTTGTTTTTTGTTTTTTTGTTTTTTTTTTTGTAATTTGAAACCAAATCCATGTAAAAATTTGGGGTGTGTTAAGTGAACAAACCTTGATGTTTTATTTACTTGATTGGGATCTTGATTAGATCTAAATAAATCATTATAGACTTACTTTGAACTATTTGAATGATTTTCTATTGTTGTTTATATTTATTTTGTTAGGTGGGTTTTGTGTTGTGAATTTTCTTGAATTGAAATGGGTTGTGGAAGACGTGACAACTCATAAACAAGCTTGGACAATGGCAGAAGATATATGGACAAACTCATTAAGTATGAATAACATTCTTGCAAGTTTTCTTAATTCATTTTTTACAAGTTGGCTTAAATGTTAATTTTGAGGGAACAACTATTGCCACTCCAAATTTGGGAGACCACAAAATAAGATACCTTATTAGACGAAGAAGGGCCAATGCTCGAATTAGATTGCCTAGTAATCCTATATGTTCAAACATATATTTTGTTGTTTTCCTTCCGGAATAAGATATACTGTTTAGTGATGGTTATCTAGTTACAGAAACGAGTACATTCAATGCACTAGTTAAGGAAACTATTTGTCACTCTTCTGGAAAGAAAATAAGAAAAATGAGGAAAATAGAAAGAGGAAAGAAAGTTGTAGATATTGCATAATGTTCGCAAAATTATTTCTTCTCAATTTTAAAACTCACCGCAAGTGTACGGTTCGCTAACAAGTAGTAAAGTGGACTATGAGTCCAAGTATCGTTCCCACGAGGATTAAATTAGCTCTAATTAAACTAATGTGACCTTAACCGAATCTAATTGAATGAAAGTTTGGTTTAAATATGAAAACCCTAATTTTGGGAGAAATCCCCCAATTCGAAACCCTAATTGCAAAATTGGAAACCCTAATTTCAAAATTTCACTAAGCTAATGAAATAAATATGCAACTGAAATGTAAATACGCAATTTTAGAATTATTGTATTGAAATGAATTGAAATGAAATCATTAAGAACTTGAATCCCCAATTGATTATTAAAAACCCTAATTTCACAAATTCAACGAATCGATGAACAAAATGCCAATTCAATGTTCCTAAATTATCCAGTATACTCTCTCGATATATATTGAATCTACTCTTACACATCACCAGCCTATATTTCTATGGATGATGCAATGTATAGGAATGCATGACTTTTTATGAACATTTTCATGAATTGCATAAAGCATAGAGGTAAGTTTCCATCCCCTATCGAACCCTATGTCGATTTATATTCTATCGAATTTATTCCCCTTCTTTCGAATGCAAAGAATAAATCATCTACAATCACATAATAATTGGCCAAATAATTATGGAAACATTCAACTCATATAAATCAAGCATTTGTCCAATCGAAATTAATATTGAATTTATGAAATAACGAGAAGTTAAATCATCAAAAGGTTCATCAAATTCCTAATGAATAAAAAAACCTAGCCTAAAATCATCATTGCAAAATCAAGAAATTGAAAAACGAAATTAAAAGATAATAAGAATACACCCGTATAGAAGTTCTTCAATCCGTGTGTATAATCTTCAATCCCGTCTCGAGCCCGTGTGAAATTGAATCCAAAATCAAGTTTCTTGCCTCCAATTTTGGTCTCTCTTTTCTCCCTGGTCGTTCTTACCCTTCATATCATGATCTTAGGTCTTTATATCGCGTCCAAATTAAGTAGAAAAGGAGTTTCAACCAAAACGAAAAACCGCGCCCGGGAGTTCCAAAATCCTTCTATGCGACCGCATAGAAGGAATCTATGAGGTCGCATAGATCAAAAAGTTTGGGCTCTTTGAATCCCTGGAGCCCTCTATGCGACCGCATAGAAGGTTACACTATGCGGTCGCATAGATGTAACATCTATGTGGTTTGTTCAATTTGGTCCCCGAACTTCTTTGTTGCTTCTCTTGACTTCTTTCTTCGATTTCTTCATCTTTTCAACAAATTTTATCTTCCAATTGATGATTGATACCATCAAATCTCATGCCACTCATTCGGCACATCTTTTGAGTATTTGCACCTTTAGTCCTCCATCTTTCAATTGTCTTCAATTCAGTCCATTTTCACTTCTTTCTTCTTCCAATTGTTTTACTTTGTCATTGAGCTCATACTTGGCATGTCTTCCCTCTCTTTTTGCATTTAGCTCAACTTTTCAATATTTGCACCTTTGGTCCTCGAACTATCAAATTGTTGTGTTTTGGTCCTTCTTCGGCTCTTTTCTCCTGAATT